AACGCATGCTGACAATTTTGCCTGAGCCATTGCTCAGGATTTACATATTTAATAAATAGTAACCTCGAGGACAAGAAACAGACTGCTTGCTATAAAAGTGGTAGATTTTAGCCAGGCGAGGTGGCTCATACCTGTAATCCTAGCACTCTGGGAGCCCAAGGTGGGAGGGTCTCTTGAGGTCAGGAGTTCAAGACCACCCTAAGCAAGAGCGAGACCCCATCTCTACTAGAAAAAGAAAAATTAGCTGAGGTTGCAGTGAGCTATCATGACGCCACTGCACTCTAGCCCAGGTGACAGAGCAAGACTCTGTCTCAAAGAAACGAAAAAGTGATGGATTCCTCACAGTCAATATTCGACCAAGCTGCAACACAAACCCACTATGTGCTTGGTATCCATCCAGGCCCTTTGCATTGCTGTGGAACTGGAGACAAGGGGAACTGACACAAATACGCTGATGTTCACTCTGCATGCTGTGCCATGAGTGATAAGGTCTTCTTGCCTCTGACCCAGGAGTCGCGTATCTTCTATCAGCACTCATGAGACCATGACAGGCTAACTTACCATAAGTAGGGTAAAATGAAATCCTGGACCCAACAGTTTTGGCAATGAGGATAGGATACTGACAAAGGTATGATTTTCTAGGAAAGGAACCATGGGCCAGGTTCCAGAATGTAAGACTTCCTGGGATCTGGTAACAAATGCTCTCACCCAAGTGATGGGTATAGGGTGCAACTGAGAATTTCCACTGTCCTACCTATGAACAAACAGGGTTGAGGTAATGTTTAAAGCCTTAGGACAAGAGGTAGGATTCAAACGGGCTGTCCAAATGGCGCCTAGATTGCTACTCCTGCAGGCAGGCATAGGAAGGGATGTTTTCATGACAAGGGTTTAGCAGTTCTTGAAGCCCCAGCTAAAAGGCAGTGTGGCTGTGGCTACTGAGTGAAGGAGTCCCCAGACGTAAAATAAATGGTATTAGCAATAAGAAATTTGCTCTTTGAGAGCTTTGGATGGGCTATAGTTTGCTGACTCATGCTTTAGAGCAACTATCTGATAAATCACATGTTATCTTAGTGCATTAAGAACTGTCGATATTGCTACAACTTGGGAGCTGTTAAAGATATCTTTAACAGCTGATTCATTTGTTTCAAAAACTAATTAAGCAAAGATACTGAAACTACCAACATTCCTTCTTGGTAATAATGTCAAATATATGACACATTTTGGCCATTGATGTTATTTGAGCTTGTGAGTGCCAAGTGGCATACTGATTTTTAAAAGAATATGGCTACTGCACTGGCCTTTAATGTGAGTAGTTTCACCAAGGTCCATTTGTGTATAGATAGATATGCTCATCAAACTATGCCTAGAGCCAGATGAGAGAATACTCACTTGGGATAATACAAGGAACAAAAGTTTACAGTAAATTATAGGTAGGCCTTATGTTTGTGAGCATTATAGAAAGTATGACCTGAAGCCTTCTATGGATTCTCCTCTTTCCTCTCCTGGCCAATAATCTTCTATTACCCTTTTATGGACATCTCGAGTTGACTTGCAAATGTGCCACACATCATTGGATTTTGGACCACTCCTAAAAGATTTTCAAATTGTAGGCTCTCTTCTCAAATGATGAATTTCTAATATTGAGAACAAATCAATCTACTTATTTGATAGATTGACCCTAAGACGTGTATCTTGCTCAGTGCCCTTACTACAAGCAGAAGTCAAAAAGATTGTCATAGAAGCATTAGAACTTCTTTTAATTAAGTCACCACCTCTACGTAATGGCACATATGATAGGCTCATACAGTAGGCTACACGTGGCTGGGAACATTGCTGAGACAACAGAAATGCCTAATGTCGTGCTGGAACAGCAAAAACTTAAGAAAGCAATTGGACTACTATGTGTCCCTAGTACTGTATATGCATGATTTCCTTGATGGCCAAAGAGAATATGCAAAACCTCAAGCTTCCCAATCGAATTTGCTTTCTTGTATGGAATTACTTCACTGTGACTTCAGTACCAAAACCTTTGGCAGGTGTATACACAGTAATGTTTGTCAAGATATCCAGCCCCAGGGGCTGGGCCTCCCAGATTTTTTGCTGAGCGGATTTAAAGTGCCCTTTTCTACTACATGCTCACGTTTTAGAAGTTAAACCCATATTCCAGGACTTTGCTGGTAGTAATAAGAGATTATAGACACAATATGAAACTGTTAGCGTCCCCATCTGAGAGTTACCATAACCAGAAAGTCGTGGTGACAGGACGAATCAGAAACAACAGGTAAATCAAAAAGTCAGATGCCTGGGACTGTGTATGATGCTTGTACATTCAATTATCTTACTTGAGATCTGTAAATACTGTTAAATCACTACCTTATTTCCTCCAATACTTTTGATAACAGAGGAAGGTGTTATCACAATCCTCCCTGGCTGATTCCCTCATGCACAGCCCAGGGCAGCTGGATCAAACCTCCTCTGGTGTTCTCTAAACCCTAATCCCCCCAGCACAGACACTGCAGAACCCCTTCTTCCTCCCTGTTTCCTCTGTTCAAGGTCTTCTCAATTGCAAAAGACGCTGCCACAGGTGACAGGGCCAGTGCTTCCCTCGAGTTTTGGAAGAAAAAGGCCTTTGGCCTGTCCAAGGCCACCCCTCCTGTCCCTACTCACTGATTTTTCCGGTTTCTAACACCTTCATTTCCTTCTGTCTTTAAACATGCCCAAATTTTCTCCTATCCTGAAAATGGAGAAAACAAAAAGCAAAAGCACAACCTTTGCCTGCCCTGCAGTTTGTCTCCTTCCTGTAGGTGAACCCGGCAGACCGTCTTGGAGTCTGGCCTCTCATTCTGCAACAGCCATTCCTGCCTCGATGAAGTCTGGACTCCTCTCTGCCACTCAGAGTCAGCCATGGGGGCTGTTGTCAAATCCAGTGGCCTTGTTCTTAATTTTATTGTGCCTGGACCTTTTGGGTTAAATAAAAGCATCTCATGTATTCTCAAGGACCTAGGACGCCATGGCCCTAAGTGAATTATAGCTGTGCTTCACCAGCACCTTCCTGAAAATCTGCTAGCCTCCATAATGTCATGCTCTCACTAATTCTTATATTTTAGAGACCAATATCTTTTTTCTTCCTTCCCTCTCCTAATTACGAGTGTTCCCAGAATTTGGTCTTTGGACTCTCCTTTCTTTTCTCTCATTCCTGGAAATTTCCTCTTTTCTCACAGCCTCAGTTGTCACCAAATGGTGATAGCCCCCAATTCTGTATCTCTATCCCTGAGCTTCAGCTCCCAAAACTCTGCCAATTTAACATTTCCTATGTCCACATATTGAAAATATCTAAGCCTACATTTATCACCTTGCCTCACAACTCCTCAAGCCATTTCCTTGTTTCTTAAGATGGCCTTGATTTAATAAGTGACAATTATCCACAGTAAAACCTGGGACGTCCCTAATTTTCCCCTGCTCTGCAGACTTATTAAATTAGACCTCAGCTCTCATTAACCCCTTTGTCCATTATCTTGATCATATATGATTGGTTGGTTCTACCCTGTTTATCACCCTCATTCTAGCATTTATGCTTTAAGCCCAAGTTATTGCATTAGCCCTTATACAGCCCCTTCTGTCTCCAATCTCTCTCTTCTCCACCCTAACCCCCCCACCACCAAACTAATTCTCCTAAAGCAGTGCCTTCACAATGATACTGCAATCAAAACCTTATGCTCACAAGATGAAGTCTGAAACTCTGTGCCTTATATTTGAGGTCCCCCATCATCTGGCACAACCATCCCTCAACATAATCTCTCTAGCTCCCTCCCAGAGCCTCTGAAGCACACCAGGAGTAGGCCCACTTAGTGCCTTTGTCCATACTGCAGCCATGACATATTCTTCCTGCTGGGGCAAATACCAACAATTGGCTGGCCCAGGACTTAGAATCAGAAACAGTGGGGCAGGGATGTCGACACAGTTTCATTTGGGTGGATTTGAAAGTGTGAGCTACATCTTGAGTAAAAATTTGTCTTACCAAGCATCACACCAGCAAGGTGTGAGACTCCAGAAGGGATATAAAGATCTGTACAGCCTGTGACCTTCAGGAATATAATCAGACTGGTTGTACAAGATATGTGTAAATAAATAAGTCGATTCGAAATGTTACAGGACTTTTTGTTGTTTAATGGGTATAGAGCTTCAGTTTTGCAAAAAAGTTCTGGGGATTAATTACACTTAACACTACTGTACACTTAAAAATGGCTAAGATGGTAAATTTTATACTATGTATATTTTATCACAATTGAAAATAAAAATTAAGAATATTATAGGGTTTCAAAGGAGGCCAGTTGTCCCAGACAATCAGAGGAGGTGTTTTCCGAGTTAAGCCCAGAAGTATGCGTGGGACTGTGACAGCAGCGGCTAACGCTCTGTCCTGAGCTTTCCATGTACAATTACTTGGTTAATCCTCTCTAAACCCTACTGGGTAGATACTATTATTTTCTCCAGTCTGACACTAGAATCCAGAAGAAAGGCAAAATTATTTGGTTTATTTTACTCTTTTAAAATATTAGATACCAAAAATATTCCCACAAGAATGTCCAAATCAAGAGAAGAGAAAGAATTAAATATAGGTTTCTGTAATCACTTTTATTCATGTGGAAAGATGTTGTTTACAGCTTTAAATAGTGTCTGGAAAACTTCAACAAAGTGATGGACATCTCACAAATGTTCGTAAGTATGTAATTATGATACTCATCTTTCGAATTTATAGAAATCAAAAATGTCCCCCAGAAAGTTTTGCTATGTTGCCATAGAATTAAAAATGTAACAGCTACAGCTACCTACCATCTACTGCACATTGGGTTTCATTTGACCCCCAAAAAAAAAAAAGTATTCTTAAATTGTTTTTAAATAAAAGGGCTTCTGAATGGTAACCTCTGCATGTCTAAGCCTGGCAACACCTCACAGGTGTCCCTCCTTCCTCGTCTCAACACGAGCTGGCCTTGGCTATGTGATTACCGCCACAGTCCCATCAGCTGCAAAATAAAGAGGAAGAGGTTGATGATGTCCAAGTAGATGTTCAGGGCAGCAAAAACATACTCTTCAGGGTCCAGGGAGTAACGATGGCGCCCTCCCATCATGAGCTGCACATCCATCACCAGGTACTTGAAGAAAAGGAAGAAAAATTAGCTACTTAAATTGTACATTTCCATCAAATAAGTGTCCTAAATGATCTGTAAAAAATTATTTTAGCATCAAGAAAAATATTGCAGAAAGTCAGTTAGTGGCTGACCGTGTTCTCCTTCCAGCCTCAAGTATTCACCGTGTCCCCAAGTATATACCTATAAAGCAAGTGCCTCATCCTCCTGAAGCCTGTTTGAACAAATCAGGAAGACTTCTTTTGCTTTCCAAATCCAAAAACCTTTGTACCTTTAGCCAATAATGTGGATCGGGTGGACAAAGCTATAAAATGCCCTATGTTTGTGATTTTTTCCCCCATGTTCTTGCTGAACAAAGAATGAAAATAAAGACGGTTCACACAGAGTAATAATTCTGAATTCTCGGAGCTTTGGGTGATAGCAAACCTTGCCATTTGAGGATGGCTTTGTGATGATGTCAGTCTACCCAAAATAGGATGAGGAGGAGAGAGGATATGTTTACGGGTAACCCCCAAAATAAATGTTTTAGCTCAGCTGCAATAGGTAAAATTATGAGCTCCTCGACAGATAAAAAAGTCAGAGAGCCCTCTCTCAAGCTGGTGCTTGTTGCAAAGCGACAGACCCGGACAGCATGAGGCATTCGAGGAAGGAAAAGCAATCAACAAGCTCAGTCCCTTATGTCCAGATTCGAGACGGAGAGTCCAGTGCTATGAGGCCGAGGCTGCCAGACAGATCAACACCACATTAGAGAGACATGCTTTAAAATAATCCATTGTAGAACAATGTCTGCTTCGGTGAAACCTACCAAGGAATTCAGACATTCGCTCTCCCTTGCTCCTGGTTCCTGCTTGGGCTCGTATGAATGAAGAGGAAGGGAAGGAAGGAGCAGGACAAGATTTATGGGGGACATCCTGGGCCGCCTGCACCGGATTCATTGCATGTTATCTCACATAATGCGGAAACAACCCGGTTGAGGTAGGCAAGGTTTAACTGAGCCTTGAGTGGCAAAGAAAGGAACCAGACTTGAGCCTGGGGATGCCAGAGTGGGTGCCTCACCTCAACCGCTGAGGCCCTTCAACCCCCTTCTCCCTCTATCTCCCTCTGTCTCTGTCTCTTTTTTTTTGCAGTCAGAGTGTCACTCTATTGCCCCTGCTAGAGTGCCGTGGCTTCAGCCTAGCTCACAGCAACCTCAAACTCCTGGGCTCAAGCGATCCTCCTGCCTCAGCCTCCCAAGTTGCTGGTACTACAGGTGCAAACCACCATGCCCGGCTAATTTTTTCTGTTTTTAGCAGAGGCAGAGTCTCGCCTTTGCTCAGACTGGTCTCGAACTCCTGAGCTCACGCTGTCGTCCCGCCTCGGCCTCCCGGAGGGCTGGGATTACAGGCGTAAGCCACCGCGCCCGGCCTCTTCTCCCTATATCTCATTCCAGCACCTCTAGAAGAAAAAAAACGTAGCGTGACCAACCATTCCGATTTGCCCAGGACTTAACAGGTGTCCCAAGAAACCCCTTAGTCCCATGGAAACGGGGACAGTTGGTCACCCTAAAAAAAGGGCCCCCAGTGGCTGAGCATCCAGCTTTCTTAGCCTCCATCTGTCACCTTGGAGTCCTAATGCCTGTGGAGAAGTGCTTTTCCCTTTTCCTCCGCTCCAAAAATCTCTGACTTTACCTTACTTCTTCCTATAAGAGGGGACAGTGACTCTCAGTCATTTCGCAGACACGAACGGGCTGGTTAGGAGTGTAGCTTCTTAGGAGAGGTGATGTGTTTGAGGGCGGACTGGAAAGTGGGAGGGAGAAGAGCTGGGACCCAGAAGGAGCCAGGCTCAGATACCACCCAAGACACAACCAGCTCACAGGGAAGCCCCAGCTGGGACTCGGCCCCTGGGAGCATTTGGGAGGGTGGCACGTGCCTCACACTCCCACAGCTCTGCTGGTTAGGCGTCCACGCACACACAGATCCAGTTTCCTCCTCAGCTGTTTGTGTTAGGCAGACCTGCCTGAGGCTACAAGAGCTTTTGCTCTGCCCGCAAACGCGGAGCAGAAACACCAACATATCTTGTATGGAAACACACTACGCCTGAAACCTGCCACAAGAGGTACAGCAGCGAGCTCAGGACACAAAGTCTGAGAGCACAGGAATAAAGGTGAATCATCACAAATCAGTTCCTTTTATAACAGAAGGAGAAATGAGAAAAACTGAAATGTGCATACTTAGCTTTAACCTCCTGGTGTGAATTTTCCTAACATTTAAAAAATAGGGCACAATTCCAACAACAATAAAAAGGAAGCAAAATGTGGATAGTTTTTTAGCTTGGTGATAATATATGGGGTTCCTTATACCACTCTCTATACTTCTGGATATGTTTGGAAATTTTCAAAATAAATAGTTAAAAAAAATAAAACCCTGGAAGATGTGACATGATAAAATCATAAAATGGGATTCCGTGCAGCCCTCTAAAAGAATTAGTTAGACCCAGGTCTGCTAATATGTGGAGGTCGTTATTTTCAAGTGAAAAAGCAAAAGTAGAACATTATATGTCATATAACTACATTTGTGTAAGAAGCAATGGTGCCTATGTGTAAAGAAATTCTGAAAAGATTCCAAGAAACTGTTAACAGTCATTACTTCTGGGGCAGGGGATAAGGAGATTTTTATTTTCACTTTATAATCTATGTTGTTTGAACTTTACTTTTTTTGTGGGGGGGAGAACTTTACTTTTAAATAAAACATGCCTTAAAATAATTTTAAAGATATGACAGCAAGAGATGGGACTTAATGTAAGGAAAGAGATTTCTAGATGCATTAGCAGTGGCCACCACCAGTGGCCTGTGAGAAGTTCCTGTTGTGAAAGAACAGAAGCGGGTCTGTGGCGGGGGGCAGGGGATGAAACTACAGCCCTGCTGCAGTAAGTTTCAAAGCTCGTAAACAATTCTTCATTCTCTTCTTAAATATTGGCCCTTTCAAGAAAAGTGATGTTTTTGTGGATCGGGAAAACCATCCAGCTCTCCTGGAGGGTGATGGTTTTAAATATGATCCTTTAAGAGGATTGTACTTAAATGTTGCTGGAGTGTCTCCACTGCACTACTGACCCCCTGTAACTCCAGGCCTATCACAAGGGCTTGTCGATGCACATACCACATTCTTTATCAAAGAGAGGGAGAAATACACTTACAAGTGAGAAGATCACAGTCCCGAGTCCAGCATACAATAGATGCAGCCACTGCAAAGAGAAGAAGCACAATCGTATATTAAGAAGGAGATTTGGAGTAATGAAAAGGCTCACTTAGGTCACTGCTAGCAGATAAGGACCAATATTAAGAAAGCCAGATCTTTTAGAGAATTAATCTTTTCTTGAACACAGTCAAGAGCATCCACTCAATTCCAATAAACAAGCAAATGAAAACTAACCTTGCCAATGTCAAATAATATTCATCAAGTGCTAGACGTCTCATATGTGGTCAGGCAAGTAAAATGTATTACACATATTTCAATTTTTCCCTATCAACATGGCCATTCCAGAGAATCTTCCCTCTTCTGAGCTCTTGGAACAGGTAGCCTTGAGGACGTAGTGACCTTCACACACCCAAGCTGGAGCTGATTGGCGAGAGGTGGAAGAAAGCCACTCCCAAAACAGTGAGTCTGCTGACTGATCACGAACTTCTGGTATGTGACTAGGCTTAAATAGATGCACCAGGCCAGTCAGAAATCGATTCTCAGGATAGAGGGATCCAAGCAGCAGAGGCTGTTGTCTCATTAGCCGGTGTTGGAGCTGTTGTTGCTGTAAGAAGAGGTGGCCAGTCAGCTCAGCCCCAGAGAGGAAGGTAGGGTTTCCATTCCTGGGAATTCCAGCTCTTCCTCCCAACTGGGAGTTCCATGAGTTTCTCTGGGTCTTTGCCTCAACCTAGTCTGAATGGTGTCTGTTCCTGGCAACCCAAACGGCCCTGATAAGAATATGGGACTAGTCTAAATTCCAAAAGGTCTGGCTCTGCCTGGGAAGAGGATAAGGAAGTGGTTTGCAACACCTGAGAAAAAAAACAGCATTGACTCTTCAGGATGAGAGAGCTGGTTCTGAGAGGGAGGGCAGAGCACTCCCAGCTCTCACCAAGGAGAGGCTCTTGGTGAAGAAGGGAGACCAGAAACCAGTGACACACCTGGGAGACGCAGTATTTCCAGACTGAGCTAATAGTAAGGAAACATCTGATAACTGGAGTCCGCAGGATTCAAAATTGCTGAAGTCAAACGAGCATGCAGACTTAGGACATGACTCTGCCAAAGTCTTCCATGCAAACATATGTGTAAGGTTATAGATATTTGTGAAAGAATACTTAGAGTGGGAACACAGTTCCATTTATCTAATAGGAATCAGTTTCCTTTTTTTTTAGTATAATTTCCATTTTATTTTTTTTCTAAAGGATAGTTTTTCTTCGGTCCTCAAGGACTCAACTCCTTACGTGGGCTTTGGTGGAGGTCTTGGGGCAGCACCCGCAGGTCTAAATCAGGGTGGGGGTGTTCAGTCCTTGCGGGATTCCCAAGAACAATTCCTGACGACTTCGCTGTGAACGGCACAACTCACACAGTAATGTAGCTTCACATACAGCTTGGGAAGCACATAGGCGTCGAAGACACTCGCTTCAGAAAAGTCCCTGACAGCTACGGCCTCCACTAAGTTCCGAATGACGAACTTGTTTACAGCTTTGTCCGTAGGCACGCATCGGCGCAGTTCGTGCAGCGAATAGGCTACATGTGGCCACGGCCCTTTTTGGCACGACCGTTGTCCCTTCTTTTCTTCGCCCTCTTGGAAGCAAGGATGCAAAAGAGGGGAAACACAGTTTCTTAACTGCCCCTAAACGATACGATAAAGACCTCCAGAACCCACATAATATTTGTATTATCATTACTGATATCTCTGCTACCGTTAATAATAATAAATGGAGAGCTGTGGTCTTTTAAGGTACATCTTTGAGATGCCTGTGAGTCTATCTCCAAAATACAGATACAGCCTCCCTGGCTATAAGCCTATCTGGCCCTTCATAAAGCTGAACCAATGCAGTCGGAACTGTTGGTTGCATAATGTCTGCAGATCATGTAGCAAGTCCACTTGTTGCCAAAGAAACCCGATGGTTCGGCATTTGGACCAAGTTGGCCTTGGGGTTTTAGCCAAAGGGTCACAGGCCCCAGGCCAGCCCTCAGTGGGCCGAGCCCCCAACAGGACCTCCACCCCAGGGCCAGATCGTGCCTGTCACTCTCCACAGCCCTCCAGAATCAGTCCACGCACAGCGCAATGTGGCGGGAAGAGTGTCGTCACTGGAGTCAGATAGACCTAGCCTTGATGCCGCCCGGGCCACTCACTCCCTATGGGACTCAGATGAATTATTTAATTTCCCCTAGCCTCTCTGCTTATCTATAAAATGGATGAGATACATACTCTTCAGGAATGTTCTGACAATTAAACGTGATGCCTTGTGAAAAACGCATAGGCCTATATCGGATATCTAGAGTCAGTGAGTATATCAAAGTGAAAAATAAAAAGCTGCAATTAGAAATTAACGAGCCTTCTCTAGGCTGCTGTCCGAAAAGGCCAAACAAGCCTATGTCTCCCACTCCTGCTTTATATAATAATACTTCAAACACGCAGCACCGCATACAGCAGACGGAGTCTGGCTTGCCTCATGGGTGAGTCCCCCCAACACCCTCTTGGGGAAGGACAGCTGCCTGGGGGAGGAGCTCAGGATTCACGCCCCAGCTCCTCTGTCCATGGGGTGGCCACTGGGACGGGCCTCACAGACCCTCGGCTACAGTGGGGGAGTGCCGCTGACCACGGCCCCAGCTGCTGGGCTGCGCAGCCCACTGCAGTTTGCTCCTAGGCCATGTTTCCTACTTCTCAGGGGTCGGCTGTGAGCAGCAGGGCCCTTCCTGGGAGACATGGCACCACCCTAATGGAGGACTATGTTGGCTCAGGGGCTTCCCAGCGGCCTTGCTGGGCCTCCCTCGGACCACGCCACACCTACAGCGCCCCCACCCAACCTTCCTCCTCCTCCTTCCCTGGGGCCAAGCTGTGCAGTCCTGGTCTGACCCCTCCTCCAGCCTCCCTGGGCTCTCCCGCTTTGTCTCTCACAGACATTTCTCCTGGTAAAATCCTTACTTGCTTAACCCCAACTCCACGTCTGCTTCTCAGAGGACCCAGACTAATCCAACCGGCCCTTCACCTGTATTTTTAACAATTCTCTGAGGTTTCCAAATGAGATCCCACTTACATATGCTCGTATGAAGATTAAGATAATTCCATAGACTAAAAGCACGAAGGCCAAAACGAACAGCATTCCATTTAGCAAGGTAAAATCCCACTGAGGAAACATAAACAGTGTACAAACAACTCAATTATCATCTATGAGGAGTTTCAGGATGTTTAGAGATGCATCTTATACCCCGCAGACACTGGCCCATTGCTAATAATTTACCCTGGCCCATTCCGAGAACTGCGGAAATCCTTTAGCCCCAACCACTAAAAAATGCTCTGTAAAAAACATTACATTGACTGGGATTTGCTTCAGGAGGGAGAAAAGGGTAGCAGTATGGATGAAAGACAGTAGCCGCTAGTTGATGATTTTTGAAACTGGGTAATGGGTACATGGGGGTTCTTTACACTATTTTTGTATTTATATGAAATTTTCCCTAATAAAAAGGTACATTGAATAAGTAGTATGTAAATTTGTATGCATAGTATGATCATAATGACTCATATTTTTTAAAAGCATGTGTGCAGAAAACATTAATAGAATGAAATATACCAAGATGTTAACTGGATATCTTTTTTACATTTATATGCATATATCATAATAAAAAATATATACTAAGCTTTCAAAAATAACTATTAATGATTCTTCTGTAATTTTGAAATTTATTAATGTGACTTTTGTGTTTGCTTTTATAAATTAGTGACCCAAATCAGCCTGAGGCGAGTAGGGTTTTTTTGTTTGTTTGTTTGTTTTTTTAAGAAAGAAGATATTCATCTTCTGGCCTAAAAAAAAAAAAAAATTGGATTATGCAGCAAAAGATATTTTCTTGCAAGAGCGTTTTCCTAATTCTGTTATTTCCTCTTCTTGTTCCCTGCCCTTAACCCACCAAGGGAATATTCTAAAGTACTAATTGTCTAAGTGTGGTTCTCCAACCAGTGGCATCAGCACCACTTGAGAAATTCAAATTACCTGACCCTTCCCCAGACCTACTGATGCAACAAGGGTAGGGCTCAGAATCTGTGTTTTAACAGCCCTCCAGGTAATTCCGTGCGCGGTAAGCTTTGTCTAGGGCTACGCTTTCAATACAGTAGCCACTGGCCACATGTGGATACTGAGCCCTTGAAATGTGGCTCGTCCAAACTGAGATGTGCAGTAAGTATAAAACACACCACTGGATTTCGAATTTTAGTTTACAGAAATGTAAAATATCTCATTACGATTTCGGTTATATGAATTACATGTTGGAATGGTAACACTTCATATGTATTGGGTCAAATAAAATATATTATTAAAATTAATTTCGCCTCCTTCTTTTTACTTTTCTAATGTAGTTACTAGGAAATTTAAAATCATATCCATGACTTGCATTTGTGGCTCACATAAGATTTCTCTTGGACAATGGAGGTCCAGAAAGCAGTAAATCTGGCTTGTGACAGCGAAACCCTACGGCTTGCTCCTTGCTGGCAGAAAGGAGACATGACATTAAGGAGGAACGACTGGGGTGAGGTTGATCTACGGGGGAAGCCTCGTCAGCTCTGCCCGGGCCCGAGAGAGGACAGGCTCTGCGTCATGCCAGCGGTGGACTTTCGGCTTCAGAGGCCCACAGAGCACACAGGGACTCAGGGGCTCCAGGTGATAGTCATTTGGGAACAAGAATGAGCCGCAGCATCTCCCCCGCATCCCTTCTTGGCCAGGACCAAGCGCTCATACAAGCCACACCCTCGTCCCAAATTCCCAGTGCCCACTTTAGAGAGAAAAGCAGGGAAAGAGGGAGGCTGAGAGGCCGAGCATTTTATAGCCACGTGAGACTATCATCCAACCCAAAGGAACTCTTTCAACCAAGGGATCAGATTAAATTTAAACCAAATGGACATTTAGTTAATTTTCCCCTGCTAAGGGGACAGTTGTGGGTCATGAGAAAACTCAAATGCATAGTATGCCTACATTTCCTCTGCAGCCCTTGAGCTGTGGTGGGACTGAATTTTGCAACCCCTGCCTCATAACGTAGGGAAAAAAATGTTAGCTAACTGAACATGAGTTCAGCTGCCTCTCAAAGTCATCAGTGCAAATACCAGAACCTTCTTTAAAATACCTTCCAATGTAATATTCACTCCCCTAAACCTGGGTTATAGGTCATCTGTGATTTAAAATACTAATGGGCTTTTTAAATAGTATTCTGGCATTTTAGAAGATTTAAAGCGGCTTAATGAATCTCTGCATTTAGCAGCAGCCCACCTCACTCATTGCAGGAAGGGCTATCTGGTTACAAATAGGCTGGTTTCCACAAATGACGAGCTTTGAGATAGCAAATACTGATCTGATAATGAGTTAAAGCTGAATCTCTAACTTTTGATACAATTTGGCTAAATATCTAGCAGACCCTTCCATCTTTCTAATGCATCTTCCTTTTTCCATCAGGAAAAGGCTAAAATGTGTATAAAAGGCATGTATATAAGAACTTCCTTATGATGTGTGCCAACAAACTTGGAAAATACACTCCCTTCTGTGTAAGTTATTAAATCGACTAAGGTGACCCTATGACTTACTAAAGGAAAGTGACCAGCACTAAAAGGAATGGCCACAGAAAATACACCTTGATATCAAGTCTCAAGGAGATTTGGTTGGAGAGACTGGCTCGTGTCCCAGTTAAACAGGAACAATCCTGAATGATGTGGTTTTCTCTGGGAAATCGTGACACTTTTGAGCCCTGGTGAACTGTACAACCTTTTAATTTTTCAAGTCCCTGTGTGAGTCAGGGTCCCAGTAGGGAAAAGATGGCACGATCAAACAGGACAATTTGAAGTGCGGTGGTTTGTAAAGGAACGGCCCAGAAGGCTGTGTTGAGTTGGCCCCCTTGAGACACAGTGAATTTGGGTAAGGGACACACTTAGCCCAAGAGGAACTTCTTGGGGAGAAGCCATTGGAATAAACACTTCTGCCCCCCAGGCTGCAGCTGGGATTTCCCACTGGCCAAAGCCCATTCAAAGCCTAAGGCAAGAGGGCCGGGGGTGAGGCCCACAGGGCAGAGAGAACCTGGGAAGAGCATGGAAAGTGGGTCAGAAGGGACAAAGCGACACATCTAGCATGCTCCCTCATGGCAGAAATCTGTTTCACTAATACGTACTTTTGTTTGTAGAGCAAATATAGTGAGAGCCAATGTCACCAGAGTGGTTGCTGCTGTTGCCCACAATACTTCATGGACTTTATAGAAACTAAAACCAGAGATTGTGATTACTGTTCACATATACTCAAAGAAAAGCACACACAAATAAAAGGAAATGTGTATCGAAGACTTACCTTGCTACAGCTCCTAGCATCAGGCCTTGAAGAATCGTCTAAAAACAAAATTCACAATAAATCAGAGCCTGCCTCCTGAGGCGTGAGGCTGAGGCCCACAATGCAGAGGAGGAGGAGGTCTGGGGAAGGCGCGTGTGAGCAGGTGTAGCGGGCAGGTGGGGATATGTACAAGCCTGGTGCTCACAGCTACAGGGCGACTGTGGGACATGAACAGTAGAACGCACATACCACACACACCACACAAACCACACACACACAACACAGTCACACATACCACAGAGACACACACACACACACACACCACACAAACTACACACACACTCCTTTCATGTGCTGCTGAAGCTGGAGAAACGTGAAGCAATGAGCTAGCAGAAGAGGAAGAAAGTTAACCTTGAGAGGAAGGGTTGGATGCAAGCGCATCATTAAAATGTCATTTGCACATGGAATAAACACACTTTTTCCCTGTAATGGGGACAAAGACAGGCTATTTAGGTGAATTTAACAAAGTAGAGAATCTGGCAATTCTCCCACTGGGCTTGGACAATCCACAGGGGCCATCCCAGATTCTCTCGGACTCCAGTCCCTTCCCAGCCTCTGCCGTGGGCCATCCTTGGGCTACGGGTGCTCAAAGCCCCGCAACTGTCCTGGCACTCCCTAACGGAAGTGCGGGCGTTTCTGCCTCCTGAGACTGGAGGATTCTTTCTTGGCTCTTCCTGTGGACCAGCGGGTCTGCCAGGCATCTGGATTCCCCAGACAGAGCAGCCTGAGGGCTGGGGGGATGTCCCAGGGTGCTGGCAGGGGCCTGACTGTGGGCCAGGGCACAACCTCAGTGCCTGTCTGGGGCCTGTCCCCTGGCCTGGCTGGCCGCTGGCTCTCGAGGTCCCTGTCTCTCTCCGACATCGTCCCCCCATCCCGGTCTCTAGGGATGAGGAGAGTGCTCTAGCCCTGGTACATCCCTGCTCCCTCCTCCTAAGCCCTGGGATGGTAAGAGCCCTCCAGCCCCATCTCCTGGCACTTTGGGGCTGAAGGTTGTCACCCAGGCACTGCAGGAAGTGTCAGCACCAAACTGTGGGTGAAGCCTCAGTAGAGACAGCATATCCTGATAAAATGTTATGCGTGGTGGGCCCGGGTGATGAATGACAATATCATCCACAAACGAACTTTTTACCTTGGTGTGTATGTGTGGTGTGTGTGTGTGTGTGTGTGTGTGTGTGTGTGTGTGTGTGTGTGAGAGAGAGAGAGTGTGCGTGTGCATGTGTAATTGAGAGACTGGGAGAGAGAGGGGAAGGAGAGGGGAGGGAGAGGGGGAAGGAGTGACTTCAAGCTGGAAACCAGCTTCGGTTTTCAGGAGAGTTGGAGAGTGAGTAGGAAGAGGCATAGAAGTCAAACCTGTCTGATGACTTTAAGAGCTCAGAAGATGGGCGCAAGGGGCCAAAATTCTATGGGACAAAACCTGTCTTTAGCGAATCTGAGTGTTTTCCTTCTGCCCCTGAACTCCTTTTCTGAAATGGTTTTTTTTTTCCATTAATTTCCAAACCCTTGGGCATAACATTAAGTCTAGAAAATACAACTAATTCTATGCCCCTCTATAATTTATCTTCTCTTAAGCTTTTACTTGTTTTGAGATAAACAACAAAACCTCAGAGATGGGAGCTCCCTTGGAGACTCATAACTTTTATCTCTTCTTGCAATAAACATTAAAGCCATTTAAAATTTTGGTATAAGAAATTCAAACACTTCTGGGAACGCGGCACCCCCTCTCCTGCCCCTACCACGGCCTCTGCTTCGGGACTCCTGGTGTCGCTCTGTCTGGCTGAAGCCCCTGCCCCTCCTGAGTGGGGTCCGCGCTCCGTCAGTGCAGGATCTGGGACAGTGCACATGCTGGCCCCGGCAATAAGCAGGGTTTCCACCGCAGCTGAGAAAGGCTCCTCGATGTCCTGGCAGTTGAGGAAATGCTCCACCGTGGGCAGCAGACAGCCAGTCTTCTCCAGCCTCGGGAGGAAGGCATTCCTCCCAACAGGGAAGTCACCACGGACCTGCCTGGTGTGGATGCAGGGAATCACACCACTCGGCGTGTGTGCTTGCTGTGGCCACCAGGATCTCAATCTAGGATCCTCAGGTGTACAGGACTCAGGTGTATCGGACTTCATGCATTTTGTGCACTAATCTAACTACTATCTTTATTCACCTACCCTACTTTTCCTTCCACCAGATTTCCCCATTAATTTATCTTATCTTCTCATATTGTGGACATTTTTGTAAGCCACCTCAAATCTGATCTGGAACCCGAGGAGGAAAACTTGAGTTGGCAAGTAAATCTTCACATGGAAAGATGCTCGACACTGCTTGGGAAGAAACATAAACCCTTCCCAAAAGAATCATTAGCTGACACCATCCCAAATCCTACCAGGACGGTTCTGGGTTTTCCCAGGAGGAGCAAAACACCCTGGGGGTTACTACCAGTGAGTTTCAGAGAGACTGTGGCCTCTGGAGGTGAGAGGTGTGACCTGACTCTAAGTGACAGAAAGAGAACCAGGGATGGGGGAATGACTTAGCTGCCACTGAGTGCCTGAGGAGGAGCCCCGAGACCTCCGTCTGGGGGCTGAGCCCTGGGGAATGGGGGTAAAATGATAGAAATTCAGATTCTATGCAGGTTTAGAAAATCTGGGAGCTTCTGCTGAGAGCTGGCAAGATCTGGAGTCCCCATGGGCAGCACAGAAAGGAATCGGCTACAAGAAAGGGTGCCACACGGTCTTCTGTGGGCAGAAGTGGCGAGGCCGCGGGGGTGGAAGCCACCACAACGAGGCACTGGGGAACCAGGAACCCAGAACCAGGACCAGACCATGGATACATGAGGAGCGCCAAGGATCAGAGGCCCCCCAGGCCCCAACTCTCTGGCACAGGGAACCACCCTCCTGAACTGAGATGCAAGTTATGACAATAAGGGAAACCTGAACTCAAGATGGTTTCTGCTCCCAGTGGGACTTGAAATAGAAATAAAATGCACTTTGCAAAAATGAAGAAATTTGCATTTCTTACATACTAGTTTGTGAACTAGATATGGAACGCACTCTCATGTGTTTGTTGTGCCTGACAGAAATCCAGCAACTGTCAGATTAACCGGTCCCGAAAAGCAACCCAAGCCGGAACCCAGGTTCCTCCATGTGGCCTTCCAGGAGACATTTGCTACCACAAAGATCCCCAAATTCTCTAACCTACTAAAAGGGTGTGATACTATCTTATAAGTTTTCTGCTTCATTACAACCAGAATTCCACTAAGAAAGTGTTTCACAAATAATCTCTACTTGTATTATCCCACAGGAAGAGTTTCCACAATTAAAGGAATGAACTTAATAATGTGACAAAAATGTATTTCAGAGGTGAACTAGAACAGGTGCTAACATTGTGGTTTACTTACAAACAATCCCAGGAGAATGTAATTCGCAGGCACCTGGCGGCGGAGTTTCCCACAGCAAGCAAGTACAACCAATACAACAAAAAACGCTGGGCTGTAGAATAATTTAAAGCCGTGTGTTATTTGCTTCCATTGATTATATCATATGATATATTATACTGAGATAAAGAGATATAGATACAGATACGTATCATTATATGATATCATCTCATAATAAGTATTATAAAGTAAACAAACATTTTCATTATTAGCTTTATCTTTATTTTTTTAGCTTTTAAAATTAAAATAGCTTTTCTCATTGCCGTCCACAGTTTATGGGGCATTTAAAATTTTTTATTTTGAAATAATTATAGATTTACAGGAAGTTGCAAAGGGATAGAGAGGTCCTGTGAAACCTTCACTTAGTTTCCCCCAATGGTTACATCTCATACATTTATAGTACGATACCAAAACCAGTAATTTGACATTGGTATGGTGTGTATGTATTGTTCTATGTCATAGAACTGAGACACAAATATTTGTGTAGATATATGTAACCACTACCACAATCAAGATTCAGAACTATCCTATCCAGAAAACATCAAAAAAGACCTCCCTCGTGCTATCCTACCCCTTTATAGTGTGGAAGTTGCCAATGCCAAGATGGAGTCACTTATGTCAGACCCAACGTGGAGCTAGGAGGTCATGAAGGAGGGGATCTCACACTCGTATGTCTAAGATAAGAACTCCCACAAGGACCTTTCAAAAACTCACAAGAAATTCCTACATGGCCTGAACATCCTGCACACATGTCTGTAACAGGACTTAACACAAGAAATTCCTCACAAATGTAGCCTTCCTGTTAAGTTGCTCTCACAAGAACACTTGCTTCATGAGAGCTGTCTCCACCGATGAGTTATCACCAGCCCCTGCGACCTGCGATTTTTGTTTCAAAATAGCTTACATGAACCTCTCCTCCTTGTCTTTAAAAGGTTTCCCCTTACCCCAACCTCTCCAGATACACCTGTGCTCCTTCATGGCTTTTGTATCCCAGATTGCAATCCCCTTGCCACTCCCAAATGCACTGTTTTCTGGGGGGAGCCTCTCTTTCTGTCATTAGGTTGACAATAGTAACACCCTCACCCACACACTCAACCCTGACTCCTGGCAACCACTAATTTGTTTGTTTTCCATTCCTATAATTTTATCATTTCAGGAATTTTATACCTTTACCTCATTTTTTTCTAGTAAAAGAATCTCAAGCAATAAATAACCAGTAGAAAAAACACATTTTATTAAATCCAATGATACTTACAAGGTTATATAGGTGAACCAGGGGTTTGCATTCACCCACACTCTTAAAGCCTTCCTGGTTAAAAAAATTAACGTAAGTTTACATAGTAAATAGTATATTTTGCTAACTAATGTGATATTTAAGTAGAAGTAAAGCAATATCATGGGAGGAAAGGGGGAAACCCTAACTGATTAATGACAGATGGGGAATGAAACAGTGAAACATTCTTTTTCTTAAAATAGATATATTCATAATAAATATTAAATAATAAATGAGGCAGGGCAAGGTGGCTCACGCCTGAAATCCTAGCACTCTGGGAGGCTAAGGCAGAAGGATCATTTGAGGTCAGGACTTTGAGACCAGCCGGAGCAAGAACAAGACCCCTATCTCTACTAAAAATAGAAGAAATTAGCCAGTCAACTAAAAATAGAAACAAAAAATCAGCCGGGTGTGGTGGTGAGAACCTGTAGTCCCAGCTACTCGGGAGGCTGAGGCAGGAGGATTGCTTGAGCCCAGGAGTTTGAGGTTGCTGTGAGCTAGGCTGACGCCACGGCACTCTAGCTGGGCAACAGAGCAAGACTTGGTCTCAAAAAAAAATAAAAAATAAATAAATAATAAGTCAAATTTGGATCCATGTAAATGTCCTGGTAAAGGTTCTTATTTTTAAAAATACTGAGATTTATATGTGCTCAAAGCCAAAGAAATCAACTTCTCATATATGTGTTTCATAGATACAGATTTTCATCAGATGCATATAAGCAGTGGATCATAGTCCCTCCAATAATTCCTGAATTTAACAGTGTTCCAGCCTCCAGGGTCTCTATAACCTCACCTTTTTTCCTTTATACAGTTATATCTGTGGAAATAGCTCAGAGAAAAATTTTTTTTAAATAGTGGGGTAAGCACTCTGTGATTCTCCCCTTATATACACATTAAATAAATTTATGTGCCTTTTCTCCAATAAAAAAGAAAAGAAAAGAAAATAGTGCCAGCTGGGTGCAGTGGCGCATTCCTGTAATCCTGGCACTCTGGGAGGCTGGGGCAGATGGGTTGCTTGAGCTCAGGAGTTCGAGACCAGCCTAAGCAAGAGTGACATCCTGTCTCTACTAAAACTAGAAAAATTAGCCAGGCCTTGTAGCCTATGCCTGTAGTCCCAGCCACCCTGGAGGTTGAGGCAGGAGAATTGCTTGAGCCCAGGAGTTCGAGGTTGCAGTGAGCTATGATGATGCCACTGCACTCTAGCTTGGGCAACTCTGTCTCAAAAAAAAATAAATAAAAAAGATAGAAAGAAAATAGTGCCCAAAATAAGAGTAAGAAAAAGTTCTTGGCTTAGGAAGTTAAGGTAAAATCCTAGAAATCTACCATCACCTTGGTCTAGGAAATGCCTCAGAAAAACAAATCTATAGAAGTATTATCTCCTATGAATAAGAAAAAAGAGGTACATTATTTTTAAGTGATCAAAATTAAATCAAGCCAATTCAATAAAAATTAATGTGAACAACTTAACGTTTAATTTGACATCGGTAATAAAGACTTACCAAAAAACAAACATGCTAATTATTGCTGCAGTGACCAACAACTGAACCGACAGGATGAGGAACACTTTTGTAATGAAATCTGAGGAAACACAAACGTTATTTTTATGACACAGTATTCCAAAATATAAATGCAATTACCTATTTTTGATACTTAATGAAAGGAATTTGCCTCTGATTTTTTGAGGATGGGAAAGGCAGTGCTAGTTTATAGTCAGCAAATGGAATAACAACAAAAATACGGCTCTGCAGAGCTTTTAGAGAATACTCAGTCCGGATTGTCAGAGGTGTTTTATTTTATCCACGGAAGCTCCAAAATTTTCAAGACAAGCTGAGGGATTTAATTTCTTATTGTGCACACCCCATTCTCCTTAGGATCAAAAATGACCTGAAAGTCTCAGGATATCACAGGCACAGCACCAGGGCTCCAGCTACACTACACCCTGCACAGAATGCGGACAGCAACGCCTGGAGGACGGCAGGTGGAGAGGATGTTCGCCTCTCTGGAGACGGACTTAGGCTGCAGAGAGTTGACAGAGCTTTTCCGCCACTTTTCTCTCCACCCGACCTGACTTTAGCAACTCTCTTGCCTTCTACTTACTGATGCACAAACCAGACAACCTGGCGAAATAGTAAGACCAAAGAGTTCCGAGTGAAAGACAGGCCGAAGCACAGCTCACGCTATGTCGGCATATCTTTTTGCTTATTTCCTACCGCACAGGTTTTCCCAGGGCCCTCTGAATATGTCACTGGCAATGACAATTTCGGGTTTTTTTCTGTGGCTTTATTCCAATTTAAAAGGGAAAAAATGAAATAATGCCACTTACAGTTAACTTACAGGATCATCGACCCTGTCGTTTAGCTGGGCAGTTTCTGTGCATGGGAAGTATGACAACAAAGGAATGGGACTGAGCTGTCCTAATCAGAGTATCAGAACATATATTCCCAAATATGTGCTGCATACATTAAAATATTCATTTAGCTAACATTAATTTGGCATCTACTATGTATCAGGGCCCATAAGGGAATAAATATTAAATGACACTCGGCCTCATAAGAATAGACATACAGGTCAATGGAATAGAATTGAGTCCAGAAATAAACCCTTATATTTATGACTAATTGATTTTTAAAAAATATGCCAGAATAATTCCATGAGGAAAGAATAGTTTTTTCAACAAATGGTGCTGGGACGACTGGATATACACATACAAAAGGGTGAATCTGGATCCTTTCCTTATGCCGTACGCAAAAATTAATTAGAAATGGATCATAGTCATAAATATACAAGATAAAACTCTCAGAAGAAAGCATAGGTGTAAGTCTTCATGAGCATCAATTAGGCAATGATTTCTTAGATGTGACACTGAAGCACAAGCAATGAAACTAAAAACAGATAAATTGGATTTCATCAAAAGTAAAGGCTTTGTGCTTCAAATGACACCATCAAGAAAGCGAAAGACGGCCGGGCGCGGTGGCTCACGCCTGTAATCCTAGCTCTCTGGGAGGCCGAGGCTGGCGGATTGTTTGAGCTCAGGAGTTCGAAACCAGCCTGAGCAAGAGCGAGACCCCGTCTCTACTAAAAATAGAAAGAAATTAATTGGACAACTAAAAATATATAGAGAAATTAGCCGGGCATGGTGGCGCATGCCTGTAGTCCCAGCTACTCGGGAGGCTGAGGCAGGAGGATCGCTTGAGCCCAGGAGTTTGAGGTTGCTGTGACCTAGGCTCACGCCACAGCACTCACTCTAGCCCGGGCAAAAGAGTGAGACTCTGTCTCAAAAAAAAAAAAAAAAAAAAAAAGCGAAAGAAAACCTACAAAGGGTTTTCAATAAGGGACTTTCCAATAAAGGAGTAGTATCCAGAATACATAAAGAACTCTTACAATTCAAGGACTAGAAGACAAATAACAGAATTAAAAATGAGCAAAATTTGTATAATGCCCTCCCACATTGACCCTGGGCATGGCCACATGACATGTTTTGGCCAGTGGGACATTTTGTGATGCAAGCAGAGGCTTGATAAACAAACTGCTTGTGCACTGGGGCTTATCCAGCTGACACACTTCTCCTGGGGCCCAGCCGCCGTGGAGTGAGAAGCTCAAGCCACAAGAAGAGAACCAACAACCAACAATTGCCAGTCATGTCATGGAGTCATAATGGCTGTAGCAGCCTCAGCCACCATCTCATTATAACTGGTGAGAGCTTTTAATCAAGACCAGCACAAGAATTGCCCACCTAAGCCCAGTCAACCCACAGGATCATGAGGGATAATAAAATGGTTGTTTTTTTTAAAAAAGTAGGCAAAGGTTTTGAACACACATTCCTCCAAAAAAAGACATATAAATGGCCAATAAGCATATGAAAACATGCTCAACATCATTAGTCATAATGGAAATGCAAATCAAAACCACAATGAGATACCACTTCACACACTAGAATGGCTATAATAAAAAAGACAGATAATAATAAGTGTTGACAAGGATGTGGAGAAACAGGAACTCTCATACATTGCTGATTGAAATATAAAATGGTGCAGCTACTTTGGAAAAGTTTGGTAGTTCCTCAAAATGTGAAACAAAGAGTTATCATATGTTTCAGCAATTCCTAGGTGTCAAGAGAAATGAACACATATGTCTACACAAAAACTTGAATATGAATGTTGATCGCAGCATCATTCGTAACCTAGAAGTGGAAAGAATTCAAATGTCTGTCAACCGATGAATGGATAAACAAAATGTGTTATATCCAGGCAATGGCATACCATATGGCCGTAAAAAGGAATGCAGGACTGACATGTGCATGGGTGAACCCTGAAAACATTATGCTAAGTGAAGGAAGGAAATCGCAAAAGACCACATGTTATATGATTCCATTTATAGGAAATGTTCAGAATAAACAGATCCATAGAGACTTCTGAAAGTAGATTCGTAGTTGGCTGGGGGTGAGGGGGAGGGAGGATGGGAGTAACTGCTGATGGGTATGGGTTTCTTTTCGAGGTGATAAAAATGTTCTAAAGTTGATTGTGATAATGGTTGACAACTCTGTAAATATACTAAATACCATTGAATTGTACACTTAAAAGGGATGAGTTTTATGATTTGTAAATTATATCTCCATAAAACTGCTTTAAGAAATTGTAACCCCTGTAACTCTTAATCCATTATCTTGCTGTACTTTTCCTTTTTGCCCATAGCACTTTCATCTTCTTACATACTATATAATTTTTTTAAAGTGGGGAATGGCCCAGCCTCTGCCCTCTAGGAGAGGCAGATACGAATAACTAACTGTAGGCTGAGCACAGTGGTTCACGCCTGTAATCCTAGCACTCTGGGAGGCCAACGCGGGAGGATCACTTGAGGTCAGGAGTTCGAGACTAGCCTGAGCAAGAGCGAGACCCCCATCTCTACTAAAAATAGAAATAGTTGGCTGGGCAACTAAAAATAGAAACTAACAAACAAACAAACAAAATTAGCCGGGCGTGGTGGCGAGCACCTACTCAGGAGGCTGAGGCAGGAGGATCGCTTAAGCCCAGGAGTTTGAGGTTGCTGTGAGCTAGGCTGATGCCACAGTCCTCTAGCCAGGGCAAAAGAGCAAGACTCTGTCTCAAAAACAAACAAACAACTAACTCTAACATTGGTGAAGAGGCTTTACATATTTTTCAGTTATACCTCCCTAAGCTTCATTTCCTCATCTGTAAAATGGCAATATGACAATTTCATTTACAGAGTTGTCATAAGGACTAAATGCAATAACATTCCTCTTGCACAACACCCCATGGAGGCCTGGTATCTGTGGCAGAGGTGGCTAAATGCTAAGTGACATCCATTCTCCCTGACTTTCTCACGATCTAACCTAGATTTTGCAAGGGTGGCAATGAGCCCAACTGAAAAACTATAGGTAGAGGTGGCCATGTGATAGAGACAGGGTCAGTGACATGTCATTGAAAACTCTTGGGTGTGGTTTCTGGGAATGCCTCTGAAAAGAAGTCTGATCTGGCTGGCTCTCAGGGTGCCTGTCCATGAATGGCACCCCCTTGGCATTATCAGTGCTGCAGCCCTCCCTTGGCACTTCTTTGCCTTTGGCTATTTGCCTTTTCCTTTTCCTACCTAAAAGGCTAGAGCTTCAAAGGCATCTTTCCAGCCACGCAATGGAATGCAAGGGCCACAGGGAGCTAGCAACGGAACTCAAAGCTCACAGGCCACCTGCAAGTTGTCCAGGCCGTAAGAAGGCTTAAGGGTGGCAAAGTGTACACCGAGGACCTGCAGGATTAGCCTTGAACTGCCTACCTTCAACCTTCATCTTTCACGAGAGAGAGAAAGAGAAAAAAAAACACTTCTCATTTATTTAAGCCACAGTTTTCTAGATTTCTATTACTCATTGCTGAATATATTTCCTGACTTACACAGTATTAACATCTAGGATATTGAATTAGAATTAATATTTTTTAAAACTTAAGCCAATATTGTGGTAGGGAAGAACATTTTACCATCAGTAACAAATTCACATCTCCTTAAAAAAAAAAGTTGTGGGGGAGGGGGTGTAAGGGCAACATACGTAACCTAAACATCTGTACCCCCATAATATGCTGAAATAAAAAATAAATAAATAAATAAAAAGTTGTTCACCACATGTTTATTATGAATTTCTGAATGGCCTGGACAACTTGGTGGGTAGTCTATTGTAGCAGCCCTACATCATGTTTCATGATAAAGCATGAATAGGAAAAACTAAAAACAAAATTCAATCTTTCTGACAATCCACCCTGTGGAAACATTTTAAAAGAACATTTGCTTTTCTCTTATAAAAAGGTAATTCGTTTATTCTCACCTCTGCGGACAGATGCATCTGAGAATGGAGAGGATGAATTAGTACGGCTTTCATCTGGGGTGCTGTCATCTGTAATTTGTACCACATAGGCATTCAGTTTCTCAGCAGCCGTTAAGGGTGCATCTCTTCGAGTTTCTTGTGGCCCAGATGCAGATGATGTGTTGGGCTGATCAGATTTAGACTGGGTGCTTTTATCTGCTGTTTTCCGAGCCAGATGTTGATGATCTCCAGAACCAAAGTCTATTGGTTCACTGACCTCCAAGTCCATTGTCCTGGAAGGAGAGAATTGTTACTCCTGTCCTTATGACCACACCTCTACAACCTTAGCATCCTCATAACATTAAGAGGATTTTTTTGTCTTAATTTTAACTGCCTTAGCTCAGTACTTACCAAGTCAGTGCCTAATAAACATTTGTTAAATGAATGATGAACAAATACTTTTACGATGAGGCTGATAGAGTAAAATAATTTGCATGCTATTATAAAATGATATTTTTATAAATTCATTCAGCAAGGAGTTAATGAGCTCCAAGCATGGAGCTGCCCTTGTCTCAGCCCTCAAAGAGCTTACATTTTGGAAGACAAGATCTTCAAACAAGCAACACCGTAAAAGGCAATAAAAGCAAGTTAGGAACATTGGAGGAGGACATGAGAGTCCTTAATAAAGTCTGGAGGAACATGCAGGGAGTAGAAGAGGTTGTCAAAAGCTCCCAGAGAAAGTGAGGTTTAGGCCATAGGTGGAAGTTGAGTAGAAGTTAGGGAAGGGAAGGGAAGAGTAGGGGAGTTTTCCCAGACAGAAGAACCAGCCTGGATCAGGCCTGGGGGAAGCAGAGAGGGCAGGTTCTAGAAACTGAAAGAAGTTCCTATAGTTGGAGCAGGGAGTTCGAAGGGGAGAGTGCAATGAGGTTAGACAGAGAGGTGGTGGGGACACATCACTGGGAAGCTGGCAAGCCAAGCGAAGGGGTCTGGACTTTATCCTGAAGGCCACAGGTATGGAAGGCAGAATAACAGTCCACCAACGATGTTCACATCCTAATCCTGGGAACCTGGGAACATGTTACTTTGCATGTCAAAACGAACATTATGGGTGTGACTAAATTAAGGACTTTGAGATGGGGAGATGATCCTGGATTATCTGGGTGGGCCCAATCAGTCACAGGAGTTCTTATGATCATACTTACAAGAGGGAGGCAGGAGGGACAGTGAGAGAAGGAGACGTGACAATGGAAGCGGAGGTCTGAGTAATACAGTTGCTGTCTTCGAAGATGGAGGAAGGGAACATGAGCCAAGGAGTGCAGGCAGAAAAGGCAAGGAAATGGATTTTTCCCTCGAGCCGCCTGAAAGAATGCAACTCTGCTAAAACCTTGATGTTAGCCCAGTAAAATTGATTTTAGACTTCTGACCTCCAGAACTGTAAGATAATAAATGTGTGTTGTTTTAAGGCATTAAGTCTGTGGTCACTTGTAACACCAGAAATAGGAAACACATACAATGGGGAATCACTGAAGGTTTTCTAGCAGGGGACCACGGGGCTCTGACTAGAAAGATTACTCCAGGTACAGTGAGGAAAATGGACAAGGATAAGCCAAAGTGGAAGGAAAGAGACCAGAAATGCAAATAAGAGGTGATGGTGGGCTTTGCCACACTACTTTGCAGCCTGAACACAGTTTCGAGAAAACCACTACTAAATGGATCCAAAATGGCAAAGCAAAAGCCCCCCATGAACCACCTGGGGAACAGGAAGACTCAGGCAAGCCCCTGCTGCTGGCTGCCTGTGGCACAGAGAGAGCCATGGGGAGGTGTGAGAAGGAGACTACGGAGATGGCAAAGCCTGGGACAAGCCCAAGGCCAGCCGGAAATGGATGAACAGAAGGTCTGAACAAACACCAGGCTCTTGGAGAAGCAAGTGCAGTGTGATAAAGATGCCCCTTCTCCACAAATTAACCTCTAAATTTTACAAAAAGCATCGGATTGGATGAATTGAAAATGTAGCTCTACAATTCATCAGAAAGAGTAAATGTGTGAGAACAATCAAGAAAAAATTTGAAAGAGAAGGATTAAAGGGGAAGAGGTGGTGATGTACTTTATCAGAAATCAAAATCTCACAGAGCTATATAATTAAAACTGTGGTAATAGCATGGCAATAGATAAAGGGATCAATGGGATGGAAGAAATTCAATAAACAGACTGATGTATATATGAGAATTTAATATTTGATAAAGGTGGAATTGCAAATTTTATCCCACAGTGTTGGAACAATTAGTTATGTACTTGGAAAACTAAACAGAATTTAATAGTTATTTCACATCATATACAAAAACACATTCCCGATGAAATAAAGATATTATCATAAATGATAATAACGATAAATATTCTACAAGAAAATACAAAGAATATTTGTGTAAGCCTTTGTAAGAATTATAGCATAAAAGAAAAGCTTGGTAGATTTTGAGTACAGAAATACTTTAGATGCCATTACAAAGGATATCAATAAATCTGAAATGCAGAATTGTAAATATAATATGTATAATAGTTACTATACTGTAAAAAGAACTTTACCAAGGAAAAGATAGGCAACCCAATAAAAGGATGAGAAAAGAACACAGGCAATTCATTAAGGAAATTTAAATGGTCAACAAACTTAGGAGATAATACCTCACAATCAAAGAACTGAAAGTAAACACAATAGTGAAATGTCATTTTTTGCACAAAAGACTGGTAAAGATTAAAAAGATAATTCTCGGAGGTATAGATGATGCTCAGCAAGGGTATGAAGAAACAGATACTCCAGGGCCACATATGACTTGCATGGGCCCTGCACACGTTTGCCCCCCTGGTCTCCTCTTCCACAAAAAAATATTAAAAATTATATTTTATGACTACATTGGCATAAAGATGACTATAATCCAGGCTAGATTCATTATGTATTATTTTTCATTATTATATTCCATTTTTTTCTCCCGATTTTTAAAAAATTAAAATATTTTTATGGCCCCCTACAACTCTCACGGGCCCTGTGCCCTGTGCCTACTGTGATTAGTGGGCAAATCAGCCCTGGGATAGCTCCTCAGGAGCATAAACTTGTGGCAGGGGGCAATTTAGCAGCATCTGTCAGAATTCAAAATGTGTATTACCCAACAGTTATATTTTTAGGAATTTTCCCCATGAACATACTCAGACAAATAGGCAAAGATACATGTATAAGGAAGTTCATCGCATCATTCATTGTTTGTAACTGTAAAAATTTAAAACAGTCTAAATATCCATCAGCAGTGGAATGATTAGATTAATTTTGGCACAGGTAAAGGCAGATAGATATGGATTGATGTGGAAAATTCACTATTACACACTTTTGAATTTAAAAAGTAAGATTAGAGGATAATATTTAGTAAGATCACATTCATGTTTTACACACATACAAACACACACATACACACACACTCCTGGGACTGGAAAGATACTACGAACTGTTAATATGATTATCTCTAATACAGCCCAGTTAGGCAATACCCTCTGAATTGTATGAATATTTACAGTGAACATTTATTACTTAGATACTAACAAAGAGGTATTTACATTTTGAAGAGAAAAAAATATTTCTCTTTTTGGTAAAGTCTGGAGCTCCTCTGAGGACAGCAGTCTTCACACAAAGCTAAGAAGCATTTAAAAGCTGTTCAAATAACCAAATTGGTTTCCTGACTAGTGTCCTGCAAATCAGAAGGAGGAGATGCAGCCAGATTTTCAAAGCACTCAAAAACAAACACCAAAACCAAAGACAACTGGGTTTTTCTCATGAAACTACATCTGGCTGGTGCCTGGACCACACAGGGAGGCTTTCACCTGGTCCTCAGCCAGTGTCATCCAAAGCACAGCAGGCACTGGGGCTGAGGCAAGGTTCTAGTGACGGTTAGGGGAGTGGCAGTTGGAGTACAGGGTGGGCTGGGGACCCCACTTGGAGCCTAGGAGAGGGTCTCTAAGTCAAGTCCAATGTGCCCAGCCTCATTCTGGCCTAACGGCTGTGCCAATACACACTCTGCTGAGTCTGAGTGAGGCCTACACCCGAATCTCCTAACTGATTCCATGTCAGGGAGCAAGAGGTCCCTGGAGGATGTGGTGTCCCCTAACCATGTCATCACTTTCTTCCAAGCAGGAGGAAGATGTTCATGAAACTTCGCCAGGGGAGCCCACCGGAGATCCCACACAATTTTTTCAAATAAGTAAGGCTCATCTGTGATCAAGTGGGCGTTGGTTTTTCTGGTCGATAACGATGATGTTGGTGTCCCCCATGCATGGTACAGCTACTTGCAGGCTGCAGACCAATGAGGAGCCGTGGAGGGGCCTGATTCAGGCAGGTTGGTGAGAGAAGTCCGATGACTTGGTCGGGGGAAGCTACAGTGAGCCGTTCCTCCCTGGGGGTTCTAGTCAGCCAGGGGAGTGGGAGCAGAAACTTGTCCTAAGTGGAGATCGTGGCTGAGAAAAGGCTAATTGATGTGTAAATCCAATCACTAAACTGCAAATTAGTGTGTGTCTACCATGGGTAAGGAGTGGGGAAGTAGAAGAAACACAAAGAGGAAAAAGACATACTTCCTTTCCTCAAGACGCTCATAGTCGGTGTGAGGAGACACAACAGTGAATACCTAAGGCAAGAGGAGGGAAGAGCCAAAGGAAGAACGATTATTCAGAGTTAGGGAGTTGGCGGAAGGAGAATGTAACTTTGGGCGTGGGTCTGAGCTGATTCTCGAAAGATGGTTAGGGTTGGGTGTGAAGAGTTGGGAGGAAGCACATTCCAGGCAGAGAGAGCACGCAGAGCGAGGCACCAGGGTGGGAAATGCAGGGCGCACGCCCAACACAGAAAATAGGTCCATTCAGTTGTAACGTACAAGGTATGTCTGCAGCAGACGATGGAGATGCCATGCTGACCCTCCTGAGGACAAAACAGGAAAAGATCAGTAAGAATGCCTGCCGTGGCTCTCTTCCCTTGAACTTCCTTGCAGTCTCACAGGTCTCCCTCATTCTCTCTCTGTCCAGTCCCTGCCATCTCTCTCTAGTTTGTTGATGTTAATAGGCAACTCGAGCTAATTGCAGTTTTTCCAAAATATAATTCACATGATTTACATGATTACACACCAGGGGTATAACTAATGACTTGATCACAATCTGCTCAGAACAAATGCTTCTTCCTCCTCCTCCTTCTTAGTTATCAACCTCATCATTGAAATGAATCAGGCACTTACTAGATGTCAAAGTTGTTTACAACTTCACACGTACTAACTCATTTAATCCTTCACCATATTTGTGTCTTGATGAGTATGGGCAAAGTGGGGTTCCTTGACCATGCACACCCTTAGCCTGGATATCTTGGGGGACACTGCAACTGAGTCTCCCTTTACTTACCTGTCAAATGAGGATAAGACAACATGCCCCACGGAGTTGATGTGAGAATTAAATGAGCTTAATTAAGTTGTACACATGAGTTGGATACTCTACAGTATGTGTATTATACTTCACTTTAAAACATTACAAAAAAATTTACAAGGAAAAAGTACAAATCTTCCTGATGATCTCAGAAGGTTAAAGGGTGTGGCCAGGGGCTGACAAGGACAGGAGGCGGAGATGGCTGGCATGAGGAGGCACGGAGAAGCTGGGTGTTGGGTCGTTATACAATAGTCCTGTGGTATCCACGGATTTCACCAACCACAAGTAGAAAATATTCAAGGAAATAAAAATAAAAATAACAATACAATAATAAAAATAATACAAATGAAAAGACAATACATTGTATCAGCTATTTACATAGCATTTACATTGTATTAGGTATTATAAGTAATCTAATGATTTAAAGTATACATTTAAATCTAATGATTTAAAGTATACAGGAGGATGTGCACAGGTTACATGCAAATACTGCATCATTTTATATAAGGGACTTGAGTGTCTGTGGATTTTGGTATCCTCAGGGGTCCTGGAACCAATCCCTCACAGATACTGAGGGATGACTGTACTCGTGGACATTGACCTGACTCAGAAGGGTGTCCTGTGGTAGAGAGGAAGCTGGTGAGCCAGGGGCCAAAGTGTTCAGTGAATGAAAGGGAGTAATTTGGAGATGATGTACAAAGGGAGTTATACCGTTACCAGACAGATACATTAAGGAGCACGGAATGTAGTACCTAGACTTCCTCACAGTGCATTGTAGGAGAAGAAAAACTTCCTTCTATCCCTTTAGAGTCTGTGGCTGGGTCTGAGAATTAAATTATTAATAACATAAGAAAGATTAACAGAAGAGAGCATACAAGTTGTATTTAATATTTTTACATGCATGGGAGCCTTTATAAGGAAAGTAAAGACTGATAGCTGCTATTAGGCCAAAAGTGTATATACCCCTTTAAACAAAGAATAATAAATTGTAGGGATGTGACAAGAGGAAGGGACTTGGGCTAAGGCTGGTAAATTGTGGGAAAGTGGCTAGGAAATATATGGGGGAAACTAATGGAAAATAAGGGTTATAAAATTTAGTAAGGTTTTGTTTGTAGATTTATCTCAGCATCAACTCTATCTCTGACAAATAAGAATATTCTCCTCTTCCTGGTGCAGAGAGGGCACCTTTCACGAGAGAAGTTTTATGTCCTGCTTCAGGCAGAAAGGGTGTCAGGGAGCCTTTCCTCCATCTGTTGTTGCTCCATTGCCTTCAGCTCAAAATAATACGCTAAAGTTGTATATTTTGAGGTGGCATGCTCTGAACACCTGCAGCATTGTTCTAAAATGAGACAACACTCTTTACCTATTCTCTTCAACCACTTTTATAGTTGGTCTTAATCCCCATAACAGTCCTGGGAAGTTATTTTGTTTTACTGTTAAGGAAACCTAGACTTAGAGCCAGGTTGACTGAGCCACGCCCCAGGGAGCTGTTCCGAAGCCCTGCCTGGAAGCGGTGCCAAAAGCAGGGGCTGTGATGGCGGCCAGTCCAAATCGCAGTACCTCCGATCATGACCGGTTAACCGCAAGATAGGGATAACACCTCCTTCAGGGTTGTCATAAGCACTGAGATTTCGTTACAATATAGGCATTTAATACGTGTTTCTCCCCCAAACCCCAACATATTCATCAAGATCTCTCCTAGGATACCAAGTCTAGAAAGCCCAGGGTCACGAAGAGGGGTTTGCAACCACCACTCCACCAAGCGAAGCTGAGAATGACAGCCTCGTTTTTCTGGCGAGGCCCATACTGACTGGAGACATTAATAGAGGCGACCTGGTTTCTTATAATGCGTGTGTCCTAGGCCAGTTGTTTTCAACTGTTGGGTTCCCAGAACCTTTTAGGGAATCCTCAGTGTCAAAACTTTCCCAACAATGCTAAGCCAGTTATTCGCCTTTTCCACTCTCATTTTCTCACTGGTGTACAGTTCAGAAGCCACAGTACATGCGATGACATCACCCAACAACTAAGGAATGTGCACTTGACATTTTAGGCTGTAAAATGTCTCAATTTTTACTTCCAATACATACAGGTTCCTGAGTATAATCCACATAAACAAAAGTATTTGGAGGGAGAGTGTCCAAATTACAATTTTTAAGAATGTAAAGGGGTCTTGAATAGAAATGACAGATTTAGCAAATAAAAATACAGGATGCCCAGTTAAATATGCATTTCGGACAAACAACGATTATTCCACGGGTCACATTCATGCTAAAAACCTATCCAATGTTTATTTGAAATGCACTTTTAATTTAGCGTCCTATATTTTACCTGACAATTCTAGTCCTGAGACCAAAAAGTTTGACAACCACTCCCCCAGGCGACAGCTAGCTGAACTGCAGCGAGCGCCTAGTGACGCCCTTCCGGTCAGGCGGTTGGGCGACCCGCGTGTTGGCCCCGCCCATCGCCGGAATCCTCCGCGGTCGGGGTAGGGCGCTCTCCGCAGGCCGGGCCCCGCCCCGGCCCCGCCTCCCGGCGCTTGGGGCCTCGGCGCTAGCGCTGGGGCTGGGGCTGGCCGCGGAGCGGGCGGACTCCTTTCCTGCCTCCAGGGGGCAGCGGCCACGGCCAGGTCCCTTCGCTCACCGCTGGGCACCCTCGCCGCTCTTCCTGTCGCCGGGAGTGGCGGGCCGACCAGCGGGCGGCCGGGTCAGCGGCCGCCATTCCCGTGTCTCTCCGCCCGCGGGGGCCGCCCGAGCCGGCCACCATGCCGCTGGGCCTGAAGCCCACCTGCAGCGTCTGCAGGACCACGTCGTCCTCCATGTGGAAGAAGGGCCCGCAGGGGGAGATCCTCTGCCATCACTGCACGGGCCGGGGCGGCGCGGGCGGCGGGGGCGCCGGCTCGGGGGTGGCCGGCGGGACGGGGGGCAGCGGCGGTGGTGGCGGCTTCGGCGCGGCGACCTTCGCCAGCACCTCGGCCGCCCCTCCGCAGAGCAACGGGGGCGGGGGCGGCAAGCAGGTGAGCTCCTTCGGCCCGCCCGCCGGCGGAGGCTGTCGGGCGCGAGGCGGGCGGAGGCCGGGCCGGCGGGGAGAGGGCGGGCGGGCCCGGGCCTTCCCGGATCGCTCTGCCCCTGCGGGGCCGGGGCGTCCCTCTCCACCTCCTGATGAAGTCTTCACTGGTTTGGCCCATTCCTAAGCACCTCTTCTTATTGTGAGAAATTCAAGGTATAAAGAAGCAAGAAAATTAAAAGCCCTTCAGAAATTGCTCCATTGTAATGATATTTTGGGTAGTAGCAAACAGACATCTCAAGAGACACACGTGTACACAGTCGTAAACAGGGTCTTGCGGCAAATGTTGTAGGCCCTGGACCTCTTTCTCTATTAATAAAGGTTACTTTTGTCATGTATCATGTTATTAAGTAGGATGATTATGTCATTCTTTTAAGTAACAGCATAAGTATTCCATTAAATGACCTTATAAAGTGGATACTCTGGGATCCATGTAAGATGGTTGTGTTGGTACAGCAAACTTTCTACAGATTTTGTTTCTTTCTCTTTTTCTTTAATTGTTTATGTAACAGAGTAAGCAGGAAATTCACAGGAGGTCTGCTCGGCTCAGAAACACTAAGTACAAATCTGCTCCAGCTGCTGAAAAGAAAGTTTCCACTAAAGGAAAAGGGAGAAGACATATTTTTAAATTAAAAAATGTAAGATGATTGTGGACAGTGCCTTTTACTGTAATGATTGTGTGTGTAGTGTGTCCTGCCACTGCCTTCATTTCTCACCATTGAATGTGGACTCTGCCCTTGGGAGCTCTTCTGTAGTATCCTTGGGAGTGGTCCAGACTGCCCAAAAGGGAAAGAGCTCTGTTGCAGGAGACTTACCGTTGATAAAGTTAATAATACCCTTTCTCTTTTTTTAGCTCCCCCCGCAAACTATAAATATGAATTTAAAAGAAACAGTCTTGAACCCAAATAGGTTCTCTATGCAAAGGAAGAAGAAAGATTATGGTTCTTGATATGGCCGGGTACACTAGGAAAGTTTTTTTTTTTTTCATTCTAAGTAATAATACTGAAACTCATCATTTCCATATTCATTTATTATTATAGCCCCAGGAAATGGGTGATGAATTTAGTGACTGAATCAAAGAAGGTTTTGCTAAACCTTCTTTATCTCTTCTCTGCAATAAGAAGAGATTGTTGAAAGACTTGTGCTGGAGGTCGTTGAATGCACATTCGTTTTGCAGTAAGTTCTCACTGTTATTGTAAACACCAGGGACAGTGGACAATGCATTATAGACTATTTCTTTAAACCTTAGTCTGCTAGTCTTTCCCTTCAGAACAGGATTGCTTCACTTGCTAGTAATGACATTTCCAAAGTTGGGCATATTCGTTTATAAAACAGAGTGGCCCTGCAGTGGATCTTGTGCAGATGACAGATTATTTTCTTAGAGTAGTTATCCCTAATTTATTTAAGATTTTTATTATTTAGTTTCCTTAAAATGAGACATTTGTTGACTAGACAAAATATGTTAAGTAAATATTCATTTGTTTATATTTGTATCATACACATTTCTTCCTTTTAAGTTTGATGGCTGTGTTCTCTGCAGTTGTTATCATTTCTCTGCAGCCCCTTTCTTCAAAGATGGTACCAAGCAAGATAGATTTGGGGAGGCCTAGCTGCTATGTTGTGGCATAGAAGTGTGCATTGCAGATTTAGAAGGGATTTCAGTGATGGTTGGAAGATAGCAAATTGCTAAGAACTCCCAAGAAAGTTCCTAAAGCCTTAGTCCAGGCTTGCTAGAAAATTGATGTGGAGTGTCATAGGCTAGTTCCATAGTGAGATAGACAATGTCTCCAAGGAGATACTTTTTCACTTTGTAAAATTAAATAACAAATTTTAGCATTTCTCAAATTACCAAACTCTCATATAGGACTGGGAAAATGCCTATACACATACACATACTATGAATGCGCCAATGTTTTTACTTTTGTTTTTTCATAGCCCATCAAAGCTCCTGAGTCAGTGTCCACCATAATCACTGCAGAATCAATCTTCTACAAGGTAAGCTTCCATAGAGTTACCGAAGGAAGAATCGGGCCTGTTGTATTATGTGCTACTGAAATGTTGGATTATTCTAATGGTCTCTGCTGTTCTGTATTTGTATAAGGTGTGATTATGCTTTTTGTTCCTTTCTAAGCTATTTTCCTCCATACGTGGCTGCTATAAAACATCTCATCCAGAACTGAGATGGAAGGAGAAGTTAGTTGCCTACTGAAATATGATTGTGGGAATTGTTCTTAAAATGCTAATGTATAGTGTAGAGCCATGAAAAAGGAAGCCATCTTAGTCAATGTGATGGCATTGAAGGGTGAGGAGGACAGACGTGGGATTTGGATTAGTAGAGGATGTAGACTGGGATATCTAATGGATAGAGTAGGCCCTAAAATGCCTTTAAGCAGAGATGACAGGAATAAGGGCAGTACTGGACATTGACACTTACAGAAAGTCCATGGTGAGAGAGTCCAGGATATTTTGATAAAAGTGACAAGGTCAGGTTTCCTAGGGCCAAAGCCCATGGACATCTGATACCTCAGTGAGAGGTGACATATTGTAATTTTTAAACTGGAAGTCTTAGGAAAAGAGTTGGAACGTAGAAAAGACCTATGGGCCCGGCAGCAACCATTAAAAGCTGTTTGGTGTTTTGGGGTCTGAACTGTCACTTAGGGGAAAGTGGGGTGAGTTGGTGCTTTATACCTGACCCAGTGGACCAGACACAGAGAAACCCAAGTGATGATGCCCTTGAGTGTGCTTTTTTTTAGCCCACACCTGTATAGTCAAAAACAGGCAAATGTCTTTCCTATATTTCCAGCATTTCATACATTGTCAGTAATAAAAAGGTTAAAGTTTAGCATGAGCTTGCTGTGGATCAGGCACCGAGCATTTTATGTGCTTTATTTCATTCAGTCCGCTCTATGAGGTGGGTATATTATCCCCGTTTTCTGGATGAGGACATTAAGACACAAAGAGGTCTTAACTTGTCCAAGATCACATAGTCAGCAAATCATGGAGCGAGGCAGTCTGATACCAGAGCCTAAGCGTAGAGCTCAGTTCCTAGTGCCACTGCTTTAGCAAGTGACTGGCTATGTGATTAGGACAAACCTCACTAATGTTTCTTCGTCTGTAAAATAGGGATGGTGAATAGTGGGTCAAGTGAAATCATGTCTGTCAAGCATTTTTCAGAGTAGGCACTCAGTAGGAGAAATTATCATCATCACATCTTCGCATTTGTGCATTACCTTCACAGCTAAACATGCAGTTTACAGATTAAGTCCAGAAGCAACTGGTAGTGCCAAGGCATTAGTGTGCTTGGCATGTGTGTCTCCATGGAAAGGCATGTGGGACCGGTTAGTACCAATGTCAGTACTTTCATACTGTTGTCTAATACCCATGTTTATTAAACAATAAAAACAAAATACAACAAAATATTCAAGTAATGCTGCAGACACCCAGTATCGTGGAGGCTGCCATAGCAGTGCCCTTGGCAGGCAGCACCGTGGTAGTGAGTATAAGAGGTCACTGCCAGCTGCTGAACTACAGCCCAGCTTGGGCGAGAGGGAGCTGAGTGGGAACCACTGGCATGATGGCCAAGAGTGTGGGCACCTAAGTCCCAGAATGGTTAAGTGGCCTCCCTGGAGCACTACAGTGGCAGAACAGCTCCACAAACTCTGGTCTGGTTACTCCTAATCCATGTTCTTCAGTGTCTCGTGTGGGCCCCTTTTCTGTCTGCCAGAAACCTTAAAACCTCCTAGCAAGTGAGGTGTCTGCTTAGATCTAATGTCCTAGTCCTGTTTGGTATTATGTGTATGTACACAACACATATTAGGAGGCCGAGCGCGGTGGCTCACGCCTGTAATCCTAGCTCTCTGGGAGGCTGAGAGGTGGATTGTTTGAGCTCAGGAGTTCGAAACCAGCCTGAGCAAGAGCGAGACCCCCGTCTCTTAAAAAAAAAAAAAAAAGAAAGAAAACACATATTGATAAACTCCTACTGTGTGCCAGGCACTGCTTACCATTAGATTCTTTCACTAAGACATTGTCTTTGCATTGCAGTTCTGCTTTCTTGCTACTGTGTGTTTTGGATTAATAATCATTCAGCATACATTTGAGTGCCTGTGATAAACACGTATAATCACTTATAATTTGGGAATAATGATTATATATTTGGACAAAACAAACCGTAAATGCAAACTATTTATCTGATAAATAACATAGAACTTTGGAATAGTGTCTGGGAGGAAGGACTAGCTGATTATGGGTACAAGCCAGCAATTAGCAGACTGTGGCCTGCCTTGGCTAGACCCATTCATAGTGATCCAATGTGACAGTCACCTCAGACACATGGATAAGATCCACCAGGAGAAATTCCTGGCCTATCAGGTGCTCATGTTGCAACTCAGTTACTAGAAACACTTCAGAATCGTGTTTATGGTTGGGGTACACACCTCTGCAGCTTTACCTGCTGCCAAGGCCCTGCTTCCAGGAAGCAGCGATGAATCACACCATTCCCGCAGTCAAGGACGGTATGGCCTGCTGAGAAGTACATCCATTTGAGGAAATGGCTGAGTGTGATAAAGATTTTGGTCAGCCATTGTGGATGTTCAAAGGAGAGATTATCTCCAGTTTAAGACCCAGGGAAGAGGACATGGGTTTTACAGCAGAAGCAGAGGGAGGGTTTAACACAGGACATGTGCAAATTATTTGAGTATAAAGTGGAGTGGGAAATGAGTAAGACACAAAGCCCTGGATACCAGAAGTACCAGTATTGCATTGTGGCAGGATATAAAACTGAATGGGGGAGGCCGAGGCGGGCAGATTGTTTGAGCTCAGGAGTTCAAAACCAGCCTGAGTAAGAGCGAAACCCCGTCTCTACTAAAAATAGAAAGAAATTGATTGGACAACTAAAAATATATAGAAAAAACTAGCCGGGCATGGTGGCGCATGACTGTAGTCCCAGCTACTCGGGAGGCTGAGGCAGGAGGATCGCTTGAGCCCAGGAGTTTGAGGTTGCTGTGAGCTAGGATAACGCCACAGCACTCTAGCCCGGGCAACACAGTGAGACTCTGTCTCAAAAAAAAAAAACAAAACTGAATGGGGAGCGGAAGAGAAAGCAGGGAGTCTGGGAGATGGGTGGTAAATCGAGGGTAATTGAAAGAGTTTCTGTCGTTTCTTTTGGTTTCAATTCATTCTCTTTGAATGGATGGTTGGGGAGGGAGGTGTGTAGAGTACATATTTACCAGGTAAGACTGATTTGCAAGACAGTACAGAAAAAGACTACTGAGCTGGTGTAGGAGCCTCAGCTGCAGTCTCTGCCTTACATGGCTTTCACAAGTCACTTAGCCTTGCTACAGCTTCATGACTGGGGCTAACAAAGTAAAGATGTGACGGAACACGGCAGACTTTTAGGGCAGTGAAACTACTCCATATACTATAATGATGGATACGTACCATTCTACGTTTGGGTGATAATGATGTGTCAGTGTAGGTTCATCAGCTGTAACAAGTGTCCCACCCTGTAGAGGATGTTGATTGACAATGGAGGAGGCTATGCATGGGTCGGGGCAGGGCATATATGGGAAATCTCTGTACCTTCTGCTCAATTCTGCTGTAAACCTAAAACTGCTCTAAAAAATTGTCTATTTAAAAAGTAGAGATAGTAGTGCTGTGATTTAAAATCAAAATACTTCTATGAACA